GCTCTGACAGCCGCCGCAGACCGCCGCCCCCCCGTGGCCCGCGACCCAAGATCACGCTGAAGCCTGATCATCAGAAGTCTGCCTAACAATGTCAAGAAAACGACGGTGCTCTCCCGCCGCGGCCGGACCGCCGTCAAAGCTTCGCCCTCTGCCAGTCCCCGTTATTTCGCCGACTGCTGTAGTGTTGACCGCCACAAACAAGCCGGTGTCCCAGCCCGCTTGCGAGCGACAAAAAGCCGTTTTTACGGCTACCCAGAGAAATCTCAAAAAGAGAAATTTTGCCAGTTGTGTAGAAAATGTGCCCACAATCATGTGTTCACCCATACACACAAGCATAACATATCCCGTGTCTCTATCAGAGCCCCATCACATGAAACGGGCACAGCCCGCTCTAATATCAGAGAACATAAACACGCCCACGAGCTCGTGCACGTGTCCCCTCTCTGCTCGCTCTGTGTCACGGCCCATAGACTCCTCTCTGAGTGCAAATCCCGTTGCCACACACATTCAAAGCGCGCCCACACACTGTGTCCAGCCCGCTATGTGCAGCAATCAGGGCAATACAGCCATTCGGCCACTAGCCGCATGCTCCAAAGCGTGGGAAGCCATTCCAGGCATTTCCCCGTGGGTGTTAAGCATTATAAAGAACGGCTACCTGCTACAGTTTCGCCGCCGCCCGCCTCGTGCGCGCGCGCAGCTCGAATCTTCTGTCAGCCCGCTGGCCGCCGGCACGCTCCGCTCAGAAATTGCGACGCTGTTGCAAAAGGGCGCGATAGAGAGAGTCCCGCCATCTATGACCGAGTCGGGGTTTTACGGCCGTTATTTTCTGGTTCCCAAGAAAGACGGCGGCCTCAGACCGATCTTAGATCTCAGGTCTTTGAACAAAGCGCTCATGAAGAGACCGTTCAAGATGCTCACTACCAGGAAACTCCTCGCGCAGGTGCGCCAAGGGGACTGGTTCATATCTCTAGACCTGAAAGACGCCTATTTTCAGATCCAGATAAATCCCCGTCACAGGCCATTCTTACGTTTCGCCTTCGAGGGTCTTGTTTATCAATACGCCGTTCTCCCGTTCGGCTTATCTCTGGCGCCCCGTACATTCACGAAGTGCATGGATACGGCGCTCGCCCCCCTGCGAAGCCAGGGGCTGCGCATTCTGAATTATCTGGACGACTGGCTGATTTTGGCCCAATCACAGACGGAGCTTCTGTCGCACCGCGCAGTTCTCCTCGACCATTTGGAAACGCTGGGCCTCTCTGTCAACTGGACAAAGAGCTCCCTTCATCCCAGTCAATCGATTTCCTTCCTAGGAATAGATTTGGACTCGGTCACGATGACGGCTCGCCTGTCTACACAGCGCGCGCGCAGTGTTCAGCGTCTAGCCGCCTCGTTCCAGATGGGCACCCGCAGGCCTCTGAAAACTTTTCAGAGGATGCTGGGTTACATGGCCTCAGCCTCCGCTGTACTTCAGCTGGGCCTTCTGCACATGCGCCCGCTTCAGTTCTGGTTGAACAGCCGTGTACCCCACCGCGCGTGGAACACGGGTCGCCAGCTGATCAGGGTTACGCAAACGTGTCTCACGGCGCTGCAGCCATGGACAGTAGCAGAATGGTTTCGTCTAGGCGTCACGATGGGGACCTTTTCCTGCCGAAAAGTCATCTCGACAGATGCATCCAACACGGGTTGGGGTGCAGTCTGCGAGGGCTCACCGGCCTTCGGCCACTGGTCGATTCAGGAAAGCCCATTACATATAAACTGTCTGGAAATGCTGGCGGTCGAGAACGCGCTCTCGCACTTTCTCCCGCGCATCCAGGGACACCACGTCCTGATCCGTTCGGACAATATGGCCGTGGTCTCCTATCTCAACCGTCAGGGCGGTGTCAGATCCAGAAATCTCTGTCGACTGACGCACCGCATTCTAGTTTGGTCTCAGAGCCGCCTGCTCTCGCTCAGAGCGACGCACGTGCCGGGCCATCTGAACGACGGTCCAGACATACTGTCCAGGAACCTCATCTCCACAGGAGAATGGTCCCTGAACTCACAGACGGTCCAGTTACTGTGGCGACTATTCGGCAGAGCAGAAGTAGACCTCTTCGCGTCAGAAGAGAACGCTCACTGCCCAATATATTTCTCGAAGAGCGAGGACGCGCTAGCCCAGGAATGGCCTCGCCGCCCGCTCTATGCATTCCCTCCGATCGCTCTGTTACCACAGGTAATTCAGAGGATCAGGGACACACGCCACTCGGTGCTCCTCATAGCCCCGCGTTGGGAGAGTCAGAATTGGGTTCCGGAGCTCACGCAGCTGTCACAGACAGCCCCGTGGCCCATCCCAGTCAGAGCAGATCTCCTCTCTCAAGCTCGCGGCACGATCTGGCACCCCCATCCACAGCGCTGGGCGCTGCATGCATGGGTGACCAACGACTTTTCTTTGATTTGCCAGAGGGAGTAAGAAACACTGTCATACAGGCTAGAGCACCTTCCACGAGAAGGCTCTATGCGTCTAAATGGTCTGTGTTCTCAAAATGGTGCACCGACAAACAGCTGGACCCACGGTCGTGCGAGGTGCCGTCTTTGCTTGTTTTCCTTCAAGAGATGCTGGACAAGGGCAGGTCCCCCTCCACTCTCAAGGTTTATGTGGCAGCCGTCGCGGCGTTCGCGGAACCCCGACGCGCTCAGTCATTGGGCAAAGACGAGTTAGTCATCCGCTTCCTCAGGGGAGCTAAGAGGATGAACCCTCCGCGGCCCCCGTCGGTTCCGGTTTGGGATCTTTCTATAGTCCTTGAAGCTATGAAAGCACCCCCGTTCGAACCGCTCGAGTCTGTGGATCTGAAATACCTCTCGCTCAAAACCGTTTTCCTGACGGCTCTGTCCTCAGTTAAACGCGTTGGGGATCTTCACGCGCTCTCATCCAGCGCCGCGTGTCTTGAGTTTGGACCGAATGATTCGATTGTCATTCTCAAACCTAGGCATGGCTATGTCCCGAAGGCGATTGGTACCCCGTTCAGGGCTCAGATTATCTCCCTATCGGCTCTGCCTTCATCCGATAGTGAGCGCGATGCCAATCTCCTTTGTCCGGTGCGGGCTCTGAGATTGTACACTACGCGCGCTGCCGCGTTCAGACGCGCTGAGCAGCTTTTCGTGTCGTTTGGGGGGCGCACCAAGGGTCTGGCCGCCTCAAAACAGACACTGTCTAGATGGATAGTGGACGCTATCGCCTCTGCTTACGCATCTAAATGCCTGCCCTGCCCTCTGGGCATCAGGGCGCACTCCACTAGAGGCATGGCCTCATCGTGGGCATGGTCCTGTGGAATTTCCATTCATGACATTTGTGTGGCCGCGGGATGGGCCTCCCCGTCCACTTTTGTCAGGTTTTATAACTTGGAAGTTCCCGCCTTGCAGGCAAAATTACTAGCTGTCTGACGAACAGCTCTCTAAGAAGCTGCATTTCTGGAGGTCCCTCACAACCGGTTCGCCCCTTGTGCTCTCCTGTAATGCTTATACACTTCATGTGCCCGCTCTGCTGGCCCCATACATGCTTATGTGTACACTTCATGAGCCCGCTCTGCGGCCTCTTTGTACATTCACTCCACGTTAAGAAATTCCCCCGGTATATCCCTGGGTTTTTCATGAGTGGATTCGTAGCGCGCACGGCGTTGGCCAGGTGTTCCCGCAGCGTAAGCTAGCTTACGCAATACGAGAGAACCTCTCGTAAGAGAACGAATCGGTTACCTAACGTAACCTCGGTTCTCTCTAGAAGAGGGAACGAGTATTGCGTTCCCGGCCGTGCTTGCGCTACTAGCGTTTCGCTTCACGCTGAAATAAATCAACATATAAGCCTGGGAGAGCGCCTTATATACACCATGGCCACGCCCATTCTGGCGGGTCATGACGCAATGAGCGCGCGGGCGCCTCTCATTGGAAGCGGGTTCAGCCCCGCTCTCCCATAGGCTTAAGCAGTTCTCTCTGAGCGAACCAATGAGCTGCTAGCTAGCCCGCTCTAGGTCTGCCGCAGAGGAACTGCGTTGTGTATGGATACAAAATTATGAAATAATTTTTTGGCTTCAATATCTCAGCAAAGATGAATCTTTCCCGCAGCGTAAGCTAGCTTACGCAATACTCGTTCCCTCTTCTAGAGAGAACCGAGGTTACGTTAGGTAACCGATTCGTTTTAATGATCAATAATAACCATTATAAAAGTATAAGTAAAAGGTATAAGAAGCTATACAATAAGAAATAAAGCAAAACGATTTGCCAGGGAACAAATTATAGACTCATGAGACCAAAGATCGCCTGTTAGATATACACAAGACAAATTATATCTTGTATATCGTGTCTGACCACTACTGAGACATAGCGGCAAACATCAGAAGGACTAGATGAGGTAAGGCTGTTCTAGACGGGGGTAATGAGTGCTTAGGGATCGACTGGATCTCACAACTCCGAAAAACATCAGATCAAATTTTCAAGTAGGTGCTATGTTTATAAATAAACCACAGATTTGAGCTTTAAACAACTACTTTCTTGCCAGGAAAACTCTTAAAACGACATTTCGTGACACAAAAACAGTAGTGTTTTTAAATTCCACGTGCTGGTTAGTGCGAGATGGATTCTGGGATACCTGGCTGTCTCAAGTCCGCACAAGTCACCTCTCGATGCATCCTCAATAGGGGCGGATCAAGAACACATCCGGGTGTTTGAACTGGACTTGGCTAAATGTGAACTTTGAATTGGAACAGTACTTGGACAGCCCCAAGTCCACAAGAACATAACTACAGACAAGAACGCATATTGAGAAATGGGTGTGATCGATGATGGAGACATGCAAAATGTGCAAACCTGTCCCATGACAGGTTTGAGATACACTGCCTTAAACCATCTGATTTCAATGGAAATATTGTTCCAGTGTTCCAATGGGTTTGAAATGAGGTAGTCTGACAGTTGGATAGACGAAGAACTCCACAGATATGTGAAGATTCAGTTATTTTTATTTGTTTCCACAGGAATGTCAGAGGCAAGACTGGAGGAGCTCCATAATCATCAACACCACCAGTCTGTGGATCCCCGAGGTGCAGGAAGATGATGGAGGAAATTACACATGTGAACTTAAATATGGCAGCAGAGTTGTGAGACGGACCACAGAGCTCAAAGTCACAGGTACACTTTTAAACCAATTCAAATATAACACTGTGTGTGTGGCGCATCGAAAGCAAATAGTACCTGTTATAATCAATAGCCGCTTTTCCACCGCCGGGCCAAACCGGATGCGTCACGTTGTGCGGAGTTGCCGACAGTGAACAGGTGCCCGTTCTGTTTCTGCTGCACTACATGTTTGTTTGTCCTACTTCCGTTAAGAGGCCAGATGGATTTGGAACGTCACTTTGGCGTGTCCAGTTCAGACAGCCTCAAGCCATTGTGTTGCATCGTGGACAGAAAAGGGAAGAGCTGTTGAAATTGAAACTTGAAATCACAAGTTAAAAGTTGAAACTTGAAATCACAAGTTAATTATTTGCTTGGCTAGATTTACATTTTACCAAGCTGATACAATGTGGGTAATATCACATTTTATAAAGATACTTAGCAGAAAGTAAGCAGTATTTATTAGGGTTGTAACGGTACACAGAAGTCATGGTTCAGTACCATCAGGAAATCAAATTGTGAGTTTTGATGAAAATGAATCAAATTCAATCTTTTAAAAAAAAAGAACACGTGTATATATTTTTTAAATTTGTTGTGCCTACTTGAAAGGCTACATAAAATAATAATAATAATAATAATAATTTACAGAAGTTTACAGAAAACTTATTTTTGGGGGAAAAATGCAGGCGGCCTATAACTATAAATCATTAGAAATGTTATGTATGTTTAATTCATACAAAAAGCTGGAGGGTGCCCTCGCGCAGAAAGTCCAAATATGCCTCACAGAAGTATTGCGACTTATATGACGTTCCAGGATATCCCTATCACTGTAAGCTGAATAAAAAGATGGAAATGCTTAGACTTATTAAATATGAAGACAATAAACACACGACTGCAACAGTACATGGTTTTTCTGTGTTCTTTAAGCCATCTCGGGTATTTTTCATAAGAATAAAGTACATGTATGATTCAGTTCTAATCGACATAGCATTAATTATACTTAGAATACATCAAAATAATATACTGTCTGCCTCATTGGCCGCATATTTTCACACTTTGTGTTTGATTTTCCTGGTTTTGGTAATAATGTGATTAAAGCTCCTCTCATTGATGTAGGAAGAAGGCCTTGATGATAGGCCTCTACTATCATTTCCAAAAAGGGGGTTAATAACTTGTTTTTAAACTTCTTATAAATTTCTATAGGAAGCCCGCAGCTTTTCCTGGTTTCATAGAATCAATGGCTTCTCCAATTTCTTGTGATGTGAGGTCTTCATCCAATTTGTGTTTTCCTTCAATTGAAATCTGTGGTATATTTAGACTATCTAAAAATTGTGTCTGTGTATCCAAATTTAATGAGCACTCTGAACTATAGAGTTTTTTATAATAATTTCTAAATGCTTCATTGATCTCTATAGGGTCAACTATAGTTCCTGTTGAACTCTCAATTTCTGTGATGGTACGTTCTGTTTGTTGTTGTCGGATTTGCCATGCAAGTAACCGTCCAGTTTTATCTCCATATTCATAAAAATTTTGTTTCAACCTCAAAACTTTTGAATCTGCTCTACTTGCAGATAATTCATTATATCGGAACCCGAGTGATAATAGTTTTTCGTTTGCTTCTACTGTATCTGTAGCTTTCTGAAAAATATCATTTTCTAATTTTTTTATCTGATCTTCTAATTGTTTCATTTCCTGTCTAGACCTCCTGGCTTTTGAACTGCAAAAACAAACGATATGTCCTCGAATAAAAGCTTTGAATGCTTCCCATCTAATACCAGCAGATGTTTCAGATTGATTCATTTCAAAATACAGATCAATTTGTTTATTCACATATTCTATAAACTCTGGATCCCGAAGCCATCCTATCTGAAAGCGCCATCTAGGGGGGTTCTTTATTAATTTTGTATGATAGGGATACTGCTGCATGATCAGAGATGACTATGCTGTGATACATACAATCTGTTATTTGGTTAAGCAGTTGTGCCGATATAAGAAAATAATCAATACGGGAGTATGTCTGATGCATACCAGAGTAACATGAATATGATACAGCTGATGGGTTAAGATCCCTCCAAACATCTGATAAATTAAGGTCTTTCATAAATTCCTGTATCAACTTCCTAGATTTATTATGCGTTTTATCAATCCCTGTGGATAGATCTTTAGAAGGATCTAGTACACAATTCATATCTCCTGCGATAAGATTGTGTCCCGGCAAACTAGCAGTTAGCAAAAGCAAATCATTAAAAAATTTGATGTCATCATTTGGACCATATACATTAATTAAATTAATCTTTTCTGTAAAAATGGTACAGTGTGGCATAATATATCTTCCTAGTGGATCTTTAGTTACCTTCTGAACCTGTATTGGGACTGATTTATGAATTAAAGTCATTACTCCTCTTGCATTAGAAGTGTGACAGGCAGCAAAAACTTGCCTTGCCATCTCAGACGAATCCTAATTGTCTCACTTTTTACCATGTGGGTTTCCTGAAGAAAAAGTACTTGCGCCTGTAATTGTTTGATCCTGTCCATTACCTGCTTAATTTTTTTTTAAGTTACCCAGTCCTCTACAATTCCAGGTTAAAGATTTTACAACCTCTGTCTCCCCCACAATCCCTTACATTTCCTATTAGGAGGCATAAACCCTTTTATAGATACACATACCTTAAATACTGAGAAGCAAAAAATACAAATAAAAAAAACCCTGAACAAAACATCTATTGTTGTTATACATTCAACAACATCCCCGTTTTCCCCAGTAGCATCCATGCTACTGCCTTTAAACCCCCACCCCTTACACTCCTTATATGGCGTTGATTGGTCCACACAACCGTGACTATCAGGTACTTAGCCTATATCTATTTAATATCACAACCCTGTTTGTAAAATTATTCTCACTTATTTTAAAGTATAAACACATATTTTCACACCTCCATAGAACAATAACAGCTGAATATGCTTAATTACAGTCAAAATCAAGCGCATTACTATTTATTCAGTCCTCACCACAAAAAGAGGATAACGTTATTTGTGGAATATAATAATCTTAATTATTTTAAAGCAACCTACTTTCCAGACTGTAATAGTCCAACTCCAGCTGAACTGAGCCCACCTTTACTCTTTGTCTAGTTCTTCAATGTAGCTTTCCACTGCAGTCGGTGTGTCAAACACCCTTGATTTCTCCTGGTGTGTAACAAGTAGACGAGCAGGGTAGATAATCCTGTGTTTACTGATTCCTCTCTCTCGTAGCCTCTGTCTCACACCATCATAAGCTCTCTGCTTCCTGTGAACTTCAGCAGAAACATCTGGATGAAAACGAAGAGTGTGTTCCTTGTATGTACCATCCCCTTGGACCTGGCCGCTCTCAGCACCTGTTCTTTTTGTCTGAAGTTCAAGAACTTCATTATTAGTGTTCTTGATGATGATGTACTGACATCTCGTCTTGTGCTCTGATCACCTAGGTTTCGTTGTGGACCCACTCTATGCGCGCGCTCTATGACTAAAGATGTGTTCGAGTCCATTTCCAATATTTTTGGAATCCAGGCCTCTAAAATAGCACACGCGTCGTTTCCTTCTTCTTTTTCCAGCAAACCCACCAACCTTAGGTTGTTCCTGTTTCTGTTTTCCATGTCATCGACTTTGTCTGTCAGTTTTTTAACTTGTAACTCAAGCGAGCCCGCGTGAGTTCGGAGTTGAACGATTTCATCCTCCGCTCCGGAAATGCGTTCCTCGGCCTCTTTCACTCGCTCCTTCACTTCTTTGATTGCTGACATAACACCGTCGATTTTACTTGTAACTCGTTTGTCCATTTCTTTAATGGCTTGTAAAACATCTGCATTGCTGGGATTCAACACTGTTTTCGTAGGTTCACTGTCGTCGTCCTCCTCTATCTCTCTCAGTTCGTCCGCGTGATCAGAATCTTGCGATATCTCTTGCGCTTTATTATTCGTTTTTTCTTGCATTTTGTTCTGTTTTTTCGGTGCCATTTCCGTTGTTGGTCTTTTGTGTATTAGTTAACTAAAGATCTGATCAAGTTTTAAGTGAGTTTAAAGGATTATTACTCAAACAATATAGGAGGGTCGTTAACACGCTTGAGGGTCGTTAAAAGTGTGACTTCCGGTTATGGAGTGGTACTGAGAAGACTCTCAGTACCACTCCATAACCGGAAGTCAAACTTTTTTTTTTAAACTAGATTTTCAGTCCTTTTAAAGTTTTAATACAACATTCATACTGCTGTGGCTTTATTTTAATGGATTTTTTTCCATGCCAGACATTGGCGGTTCTCAAATCTGGTCCTCTAGCTCCACTTTCCTGCAGAGTTTATCTCCAACCCTTATCAAACCCACCTGCCTATAGTTTTCTAGTAATGCTGAAGAACTTGATTAGCCTGTTCAAATGTGTTTGATTAGATCACTTCGAAGGCCAGAGTCAAGAACCCCTTCTGTAGTTGGTCACTTCACATTTGGAAGTCCATTTGGACTAGGGCTGCACGATTATGGAAAAATAATAGTGGTTAATTTGATTTCCCTTGATACTGTAATCCTGGTTACTAAAATCAAGAATTTACATTTAATATAATTTTTTTCTGTAATGTGACATTAAAAGTCTATCAAATCTATCACTACTCTCTGTAGCATATAAATATATGAAAACAGCAGTACAACAATAGCAGCTGTAGATGACTATGTTCTGCAAGTTCTAAAAGGGATGCCAAAAAATAGTATTTATTGGCAGCCTTGTGCCGCAAGCCACATGCTGGAGGAAACTGACGAGAAGGTTTGTTTAAAACCGAGCCTTTGGTTCAACCCTCCAGGCTTAACTCCCCCTTTTGTACACATATCCAAGCTAAATCCAGCACAGCACAGAGCAAACAATGGACTGCACAGTTTTACACAACACACAGTGATGGAATCATAATAAAATCTGCTTTCACAGCTTGTGTCTAGATAACACAATGTCTTTTGAGCATTCCCAACTCTGGACCTCGAGGTCCACTGTCCTGCAGAGTTTAGCTC